AGATATATAAAATTTAAATTGTTATTTCGATTGTATGAAATCTAAAGCAGAACTTTTTTGTACACCTAATAATATGTTTGTTGTACAAGAACATCTCTACATGTGGCGTGAATATATACCTTTAATATACAGTATGCCAGTATATAATGATGCTAGGGGTACTTTGCCGTGGTATTTGCTGACAATACAACGCACATATAGACCTGTAATAAACAAGGAAAATATGTGGATGATAGTCAATATGCAACAGACTGATAAATTATACTTGAAAATTTTTTTACATTACAGATTTCATTAATTTGTTCAATTTTTATCAAGATTGAATTTTTATACAGGAAAAGTAACTTGTTGCTTCCCTATTGGAGCAAATGTATACGCTTTTGATATACGTGATTCTGAAACTAATATTAACTAATTTAAATAACGTATTAAATGTAATATATATATATATAAAGTTTATTCTAATTATCTTCATCTTTTAGAGATTTTATAATCCACACATAATTACGTTTAGTAAATTACATTCAATATACCTTGTTAGACACTCTTCATGAATATATTCATATATCTAATCTATATGTAAGCTATAAGTTATATAACATTAGTTTATTTTTTTTGCAGTTATCATTATTTATGAATAAATATAAGTTTTGCAAATAATTTGATATTGCAGTATGGTAAATGGATTGTAAAGTTTATAACCGACGATAATTTAACGTAAAATAGTATGTTATTTCATAAATAACTAATACTTTTTATATTATTTGTAATATAAGCCAATTTACTATACATAAAAATTTTTATCATGTTACTTAAGTTTATAGTTTCAAACAAAGAAGATAACATTTCAGAACATTGTATCTTAAATTTAATATCAAAGAAAGTAATGATTAATGATAACATTTCTTTATTGGGTGATAGGGTATTATCGTATAAATTACTCTGAGGACAGGTGGTTAAACATTACATTGTATCTTAATTCCAAGAATCATAGGAAGATTAATGTTCTCGTCGTGCTCAAGTCATCGATGACGTGGACCATTTTATAACAATAAGCAAATTAAGACCATTTATATTTTGGGAATTTACAAAATACTTACATAAAGAAGTGAATTATATAACATGTTACATAACATATCTTATGTTTAAATGTCTCTTGAACGCATATCAGACATCATTTCAATTCCGCACGGTAACGAGGAAAAAGATTTCAAGGTAAAAATGATTTTAGTAAAAAGTGCATTTGTACATCATTTACATTGATTCAAAAGTACACATTTTATATTAAATTAATTTTTTAAACAATTTTCTAAAGACCTAATTTAATTAAGAAATTGAGTAATAAAATTCTTTCCGTTCCAACAATTTAGCAACATTTCCAAAAAATAAATATGTTAAACAATGTTTTTGTTAATTTACAACATTTAGGACAGAATATTCTGGATATTGAATGAGCTACTTGAAAAAATTGGATACAAAGAAGATCATAACGAAAATCATCTTACTAAATGTTTGAAACAAGAAGCCGCCAAATGGGCGTGCGTGATAGCAAATGCAAGGAAACAGCATTAGATAATTTGAAATTGCATTTAGCAAATCAGACGTAATTATTCCTCTAAAGTTCCATTATATTTCTGTACATTTACTGAGAAAAAGATTTCTTTAGATTTAGTAATTCTATTTGTTTAATTTAAATTTATTTAATTTAAACAACATAATTTTGCAATTTATTGAACATTATTTTGTTGAATTAAAAAGTTTTGTTGTTTTGTTAATGTATATCATGGTATTTTAAACAGAAGAAACACTATTATTTAAGGGAAGTAAAATTTATCGTTAGACTAATAATTCTTTGTTTGGTTAAATTAAATATTGTTTCAATGGAAAAGATTTTTTTAACATTGTTGGAATATATAATAAAGACCATTATGTCCTTCAAATAATTTATTAAATAAATATTTTATTTAAAATAAAGCAATTTATTATTTGAAGAACGATCGAATTTGAATAATTGATTTGGATAATTAATCAATAATTGATTTGTTTGGACTATTTCAAAAGTAAATTCCTTTGAATCTAATAAAATTGAAAGAATTAAATTCAAAGAAGTCGTTCTCTCTGTGTAGTATCTGCAAAGCTTGATATATTTTTGAACGAAAAAATATATATATATATATATACATATATATAATAATTGTCATATCTTTATAATTGAATTTTCTAGATCTAAACTTTTATCTTGGTGGAAGAGATGGACATATTGTAATGGCATGTCTCACATTCGTTTAGACGAAGTATTTTTTGACTTACACCAAATTATCGAAACCGAAAATCTAGAAATAATGGAAACTCTAGCTTGCTCTACAGATGTTGATATCTTACCTCATCTTTACTTGTTACGAAAGATATATATAATATATATAATACAACTATAATACAAACAAACTATGAACGAAGAAAGCATATAAATTTGTTTTGTCATGTTCTTCAGAAACATATAACCCTATCATTTAATTATCTAACAATTTGGACTTCATTCTTCCTAAGTAACGTTACCGTTTTCACAAATATATTTTGATTATGTTACAATTATTAATTCTGTTGTATCATTTCTAATATATATATCACACATTTTCCTTTTCTAGAGAAGTTAGTAAAATTGCAGCATTAGTTATGATTATAAATAACTATCTATACTTTCAAGGAACTTACTACTGAGATAAATTTTATCAAACGTAATACTGCTAACTTATTATATTTTTGGTATTTATTTAAATTTATAACGTTACATATTATTAGATAGAAAGTGTTTTAGATCTTTTTAGATAGAAAATATTTGATCTTTGTGAAAACGACATATTATACTCAAAACTAAATTGTCAAAATGAAATATAACATGTTATTTAAATTTTAGTTTGTAAAAATTCGAAAAATATTTGAATGGATCTTTTAAAATGGCACTGTATATTTAAAATGTGCCCATACAAATTTTGCAGATAAACTGAATACATACAAAGTTTAAAAATCTTCTTCCATTGGCCTTAGAAAAATTAAATATGCGCACGCATGAACTAGATAGGCACTCGAATTTATTATATTATTATATTATTATTATAGGCATTATCATTAAAACTTATTGTAATCCTTTTTAACTTTTAAAAACTGATCAAATAACAAAAGACTGTATGGCAATAAACTAGTACTGATTTAGATTACAACATTTATTGTCATCAATATTGAAAATATATAATTCACATCATACAGTCTATAATATATAATGTTACATATATTATAGATTTTCAATGCTGAAAATGAATATCGGAACACATTCTGGGATCTACAAAATTTGTGCATAAAATAGATATTTAGATACTCCATATTCATATGTATTAATTTTTCCTACTTCTATATCATTGTAACTATATCATTCTAACGATCGATTTCGAGATTGTCTGGAATGGTTAGAAATTTTTGATATCTATCAATATCAATGTACTTCAAAATATATTATCAATATTATAAACATATATTATTTTTAAATCTAATATATTTTATGATAAATATTAAAAATGTGTATACAAATATGTATACAAAATAATATGTATACAAAAGGGAATATATGTATATATGTATATATGTTCTACACATACTATTCATGTCAAATATTAATAACAATTTTGTATTAATTTCATCACTGATTATTTTTATTTCTATAAAATTTAGTTGTCCTACAAAAGGACTACTACAAAAAGACAATTATAAAATAAGATAACGTCGATACGTACTTTAGTCCACCTAAAAGTTAAGAAAAATACTACATTCATTAACGTTTAAGATCATATGGAAACTAATGTAAAAGTTAATAAAAATCTCAAATTTAAATTTGTTAACTGATTATGTAATTAAATTCTAAATTAATTTTTGTATATAGTAACAATTTTAGAACTACGTACTGTTTACTTGTTATAATCATTCTACTTTTTTATTAAATTTTATATAAACATATTTATCAATTATGATATATTTAAATGTAGATAATATTTTGAGCAAGCTTTATAAATACATCGTCAAACGTTTTTATGAATAATTTTATTTT